ACAAAGGGCTCGACCAAGAACTGTCTCAGGACACCATCGACAGTCTCGACACGCTGCTCCTTTCCTGCCCTCGCCTCGATCCACTCACGCGCCTCGGGCCAGGTCTTGTTCAAGGCCAGCAGACCGCTCTTGCCTCGCCTCTTGATGAGCTGATCTGGCTTTGCAACGAACTTGGAGCCGGGGGTCAGCAGCCATGGGTATGTAGCCTCTGCCTGGTCGAGGATGCCCTTGACATCCTCGTCGGCGGGGAAGTACAGCGATGCAAGCTTGGGGGGAGGGTTGTGTGTAGCCTGGGCAGGCAGAGGAGTGGGCTTGATGACTGGGGCGCGGGTGAGGTGGTAGTTGAGGATGGCCTTGCCGTCGGCCTCGAGGATGGACTTTGCTGACATTGTGAAGCTGGGTCAGACTGCACTAGAGGTGGTGAGTATGGATGGGAGAGAAAAGAGGAGAAGAAGGAGCAGGTTGCGGGCGAGGCAAGGGACTGCAAGGAGATATGGCAAGGAAGGAGGAGCAAGAGAAGAGCAGAGCCAATGCTGGCAGCAATGTCGGGGTGAGAAATGGGGCGTTGGGCAATGTCCGACGACAGCGACGACTTCGGACAACGATGGTGAGGGGGCCGGGACGACAAGATGCAAACTGGCAGGGCGGGGCTGGCGGCACGAACCTATATTTGTTGGGGGTGGTTGGACACAGGGGGCAGCAGGAGCAGAAAGAATCAGAAAGAATTGATGGCAAAAAGGGCAATGGTCAGACGGCGGGCAGTCGAGGCTTGCGAGGCGGTCTGGTGTTTTTTCCTTGCGTGTTGAGCTTGGGAGGGTGCAGGCAAATGCAGGGCTAGGCTATTCGGCGGGTTGCTGGCCTATCACCGCCGACCCACCCCACCATGGCCACAGGAACAGCGGGAGGGCGTCTGTGCCCCTCGACAACATGGTAACCACCCGAAAGCAGCGCAATCCCGACGGCTTTGGGGCGGACTTTGCCCACCAGGCGGACTTTTCCCCTTGGAGGCGGACTATGGCAGCGGGCGCCGGAGACAATGGCTGGTGGTTGCCTTTCCGTGCGAATTGCAATGGTTGTCCCGACTCCGAGGGGCGGCGTTGGCAACGACAAGCAAGACATTCGGGTCCCCGTTCACCGCTCGGGTCTTGGGCCTAGCGCCGCAGCGATTTAGTTTGTGCAGCTCAGTCTCCAGCTCAACACCGCCAGCAGACCAACAGAGCAGGCGCCCACACCATCGGCCACAAACGTTGTTCTCTCCTCGCAACCTTCTCCTAAATTGTCCAAGCATCTTCCGCACTGCCCCTCGCCCGGCATTGCACCCATAAGGTCAGTTCCCCTCTCGATCCCCTCCGCTCCGCTTCTATTCCCCTCGTGCCTGTCTGGCCCCTACACCTAGCCTGCTGCATTTTTTCCCCCATCGCAAACTCCCTCCTCTGCGATCCCTTCCGCCAGCCATTGCCGCCGCGCCTAACTGTCCACGGCTGCACTCCATACATACAAGAGCCTGGGCCCGACTGACCCTCTGCCCTCCCCAGAAATTCCCCGAAGCCTCCCTTCGACAAGTGACGCTCCCATACACACACGGCCACCATGTCCTCCTCAGCGCCTGCCCAGGCGGCCAACGACAACATCCGTCGCTTTGCCGCCCCCTCGAGGCCCTTGAGCCCTCCGGCCGCCCATACCCTCTTCCACCCGAGGACACGATGCTTCGTCTAGTAAGAAAACACACCCCCCGCCCTGCCCCAATGCAGCCGAGCACCTCTCTAACATGCCGGCAACAGCGGACTGCAGCCCCGTGCCGTCCAGGGCATGCTCGACTTCGACTTCATCTGCAAGCGCAAGCAGCCCTCGGTCGCCGGTATCATCTACACATTCGGCGGCCAGTTCGTCAGCAAAATGTGCGTGCCAAGCAATCGTCCCACTTTGGTGTGACTGCTCGTCTGACAACAGCCAGGTACTGGGGAACCAGCGAGACGCTGCTGCCCGTATACCAGACCGTCGAGAAGGCCGTTGGCAAGCACAGCGATGTTGACACCGTCGTCAACTTTGCCTCGTCGCGTTCCGTCTACCAATCCACCATGGAGTTGATGGAATTCCCCCAGATTAAGTGCATTGCCATCATCGCCGAGGGTGTTCCCGAGCGCGTAAGTCCCCGGGACAGTTCTTGCATCTTGGAAAATGGAGCAAAAACTGACATTGGTTAGCGTGCTCGCGAGATTCTCCACGTTGCCCAGAAGAAGGGTATTACCATTATCGGCCCCGCCACCGTTGGTGGCATCAAGCCCGGTGCGTTCAAGATTGGAAACACTGGTGGTATGATGGACAACATTGTTGCCTCGAAGCTCTACCGCCCCGGCTCCGTCTCATACGTCTCCAAGTCTGGAGGTATGTCCAACGAGCTGAACAACATCATTGCCAACACTACCGATGGTGTGCTCGAGGGTGTTGCCATTGGTGGTGACAGGTACCCCGGTACTACTTTCATTGACCACGTTCTCCGATACCAGTCCGACCCCGACTGCAAGATCATTGTGCTGCTCGGTGAGGTCGGTGGTGTTGAGGAATACCGCGTCATTGAGGCTGTCAAGTCTGGCCAGGTCACCAAGCCCATTGTTGCTTGGGCCATTGGTACCGTTGCCGGTATGCTCAAGACCGAGGTGCAATTTGGTCACGCTGGTTCTTTCGCCAACTCTCAGCTCGAGACTGCGGCCACCAAGAACAAGACTATGAGGGAAGCTGGTATCTACGTGCCAGAGACCTTTGAGGACATGCCCAACACTCTTGCCCAGGTCTACCAGAAGCTGGTCAAGGACGGAACCATTGTTCCCAAGCCCGAGCCCGTTGTTCCCAAGATCCCCATTGACTACTCATGGGCACAGGAACTCGGTCTCATCCGAAAGCCTGCTGCTTTCATTTCCACCATTTCCGATGACCGTGGCCAGGAGCTGCTCTACGCTGGTATGCCCATCTCTGACGTCTTCAAGGAGGAGATTGGTATCGGTGGTGTCATGTCGCTCCTCTGGTTCCGTCGCCGTCTGCCCAACTACGCTAGCCGTTTCCTCGAGATGGTGCTCATGTTGACTGCCGATCACGGTCCCGCCGTCTCTGGTGCCATGAACACCATCATCACCACACGTGCCGGCAAGGATCTCATCAGTGCCTTGGTTTCTGGTCTTTTGACCATTGGATCGCGCTTCGGTGGTGCGCTTGACGGTGCTGCTGAGGAGTTCAGCAAGGCCTTTGACAAGGGTCTCAGCCCTCGTGACTTTGTTGACACAATGAGGAAAGAGAACAAGCTGAGTAAGTGACTTTGGGAAGAGATTTGTGAGTGCAATAGCTAACATTGCCCAGTCCCCGGTATTGGCCACAGGATCAAGTCCCGCAACAACCCCGATCTTCGTGTCGAGCTCGTCAAGGAGTACGTCAAGAAGAACTTCCCCAGCACCAAGCTGCTCGACTACGCTCTTGCCGTCGAGTCAGTCACAACGTCCAAGAAGGACAACCTGATTCTCAACGTTGACGGTTGCATTGCTGTCTGCTTTGTTGACCTTGTCCGCAACGGTGGTGCTTTCTCCAACGAGGAGGCTGAGGACTACCTGAAGATGGGTGTACTCAACGGTCTCTTCGTTCTCGGCCGAAGTATCGGTCTGATTGCTCACTTCCTCGACCAGAAGAGGCTGCGCACTGGCCTCTACAGGCATCCTTGGGATGATATCACCTACCTGCTGCCTTCGCTGCAGTCTGGTGGTGCGCCAGGTGCCGAGGGCCGTGTTGAGGTTAGCTTGTAGAGTAGTGCTTTACAAAAAGCCAAGGGTATGTCCGGTTCTAGTCGCTTGATAGTAGACCGAAATAGGCGTTTTGAGCGCGGTGGACAAAGGCCTTGAACTGCATCGCAAGGCCGCTGTAGCAATACTTGCCAGTCGTTGGCAGAGATATCTTATTTAATATCAAACAAACAAGTAACTGAGTTTGCTGTGCGAGAAGAGTTCTTTAAGCCGGGTGGATCGGCAGCTTGTGGCGAGGTTAGTGGGAGGCCTCAATTCAATGACAGGTCCAGCCTTGCCCAAGTGTGGGTTGGACCGTGTTGAAAATTAGGTTGAGATGAGCCGCTTCTACATTTAAACTCCACCCTTTTCACGCCAGTAAAGCTTGTCATGAGTACACCGCATGCACATGCACATGCATCCATAGAAGGCGTCCTGCGCAAGGTCAAATAGTCGACGGCTGGGCTGCACGCAATGTACATTTGTGGTTACCTCCCGTCCACGTGCGACAAATAGTAATTCCAATGTGCCGTGACTTGAATTGTACCTGAAGACATGGCGTGTTTCCTTTGACCGGTGGTCGGTGATGCTGTCAAGAAGCGTTTACTTACATGGAGCAGTAGCCACATACGGTATGGCGGCCATGGCCTTATATGAGAACAGTCAATCACAGCTTAGGACCAGCAGACACTAACCACTGCACTGCTACTCGGCCCCGACCCACCACGTTTGACAGTCCAGCGGGATCCTTCAAGGGGAAACAGTCATACCATTTCTCATGATCCTGAAATGCAATCTGGCTGATTTGGAAGCCCATAAACACCACGCCATGCATTTTTCTCGCGCGTGCATCTGTCGAGGTTGAGCGATGTACAGTCGAAGTTATTGGCCTGCGCATTGGTTTTTAGTCGACACAGAAAACACTATTGCTGCAGGGTGGGACAATACGCCGCAATGCGCCCCACTCAGGCATGCAGCGCGTAAATAGATGGGATTTCATTCTACGCTACTTCTTCTTTAGGCCGCTAGTCACCGCCGTAATTGGGGAGCTACGAGCCTGTGGCTTGTTTCTTCTGGCGGGTAGCCTAATTAGTTGCCGGTTTGCCTTGAAGGTGGATATGCAGCTAGTTGCCTGTGCCGCATTCATTAAGAATAAATAAAGATGCAATCCCAGTGCCTATGCTCAAGCTTGTCCCTGGTACTAGATTATACAAATTCAAAAAAAAAGCTGTCAGCATGCTCGTGCGTATTTCGGTTGCAGCTGTGGCTTCGGCCGGGCTTGTCGTAGCCCAGGCTCCTTCAGATGATAGTACTCACTACACGCTTGCCTCCTTCGCCTTTATTCGAACTGGAGAACGGACACCCATTCTACGAAACAATACCCAGGTCCTGACGGCGCTAGGCGCCCAACAAATGTACACGCTCGGAGAAAACTTCAGAACAAGATACATTGCTGGCGACTCGCCAAACAAGCTTGGTGTAGAGCATGTTGCAGGAATGTCAGTCGATGTCATAGACAATGACCAGATAAGAGTTCAAACTCTGGAAAAACCGTACCTTGTTTCTTCTGCACAGGCATTTATGCAGGGACTATATCCTCCGAACAGCAATTCCAACGGAACCGGACAAGTCGCTAGCCGCCTTGCAGATGGCACCCAGGTTGACTACCCGCTCAACGGATACCAGTATGCTGGTATCCAAGCTGCTGCACTGGAAGACCCAGACTCAAGATTCGTTTCTGGATCGCAAAACTGTCCTCTTGCGCAAGTAGCTGCGCTGAACTTTTTCGAAACAGAAAAGTTCAAGGAAACGGAGGCGGCCAATGCCGATTTGTTCAAGAAATTGAACATAGATTGGCTGGAAGGCACACTTCCCGAGGCATATTTGTGAGTTCAAGCATTACATAAGTTCGTATTTACTACAAAGAGAAGCTGACAGTGTCAATAGTAATGCTCGCTCGGCTCTTGAGATATCCGACTACATCTCTTACCAATACTCGCACAACTCCAGCGTCTACAAGGCCCTATCAGCAAACGACTCTGACTACACTGGTGCCTATGACCAGCTCAGCCATCTTGCCGACGAAGTTGCCTGGCACCTCTACGGCAACGCATCCGACCTATCAACGGATGCAAACTACCAAGCCATCGGAGGCAAGACACTCGCCAGCTCCATCCTCAACACCTTCAAACTCCAAGTCCCGGATAAAACCAGCCCGAGCAACTCGAGCACCCCATCCCCGCGCCTAACCTTTTACTTTGGCGAGGAAGACGCAATGCTAGGTCTCAACTCGCTCCTCAACCTCGACACCAAATCCCCATCTTTCAAATCCATCCCTTCCTACGCCTCCTCCCTCATCTTCGAGCTCTTCAGCACAACCAAAGACCAGAACCCCAAACCCGAAAACCTCTGGGTCCGCTTCTCCTTCCACAACGCCACCACAGATGACAAACAACTCGTCGCATACCCTCTATTCAACCACGGCCCCTCAAACACAGACATGTCCTGGACCGAATTCGAGCGCCAATTCAGCGCAATGGCCGTATCCGGCATATCGGACTGGTGCCGCACATGCAACAGCGGCAGCCTATTCTGCTGGGGCGCCGAAGCAAAAAAGAGTCTCGATGACTTACCTTCTTCCTCCCCTTCCTCCATCCGCGAACTCAAATCCCGCCTTTCACCCGTCGTAGGCGGAATCATTGGCGCCGTCGTCACGCTCGTCGTCGCTGCCATTGTTTTCGCCCTCGTCATGGTGTTTGGCGGTGTGCGCGTGCACCGGCCGCAACGCAGCGTCAATCATGACAACGATGGTAGTGCTAAGGGAAGGGGATTAGGAGGTTTCAAGGGCGTGGCGAAACTTGCTTCCGATGCCGATTTGAGACTTACGAGTGAGGGTGCGGCGGGTGCGGATGCGAAAAGGGGGCATGAAAGGATTGGGAGTTGGGAGTTGAAACAAAAGGATTTTGGCAATGGCGAGGAAGTGAGTCGGAAGAGTAGTTTTGAGAGGATTGATGGGGTTGTTGCGGCGAGGGTGGAGCCGGTTCAGAGGCTTTGAGGGGTGGATGTGTGTATGAGTAGGGTGATGTGGGGTTTATACTGCGATTTAGCTTATGGATGGTTGCATCAGTGTGTATGTATATAGTGGGAAAGGGATGGAAAAGTACTTGATGTTCATATTGTGATACCATTATACATTGTACGAAGAAATTTCAAGTATAGTAACTACTTTTTGTATTTAGTCCCTTTTTCTTGCTTTTGGAACATACATCTCGATACATATCCTTCATGGCTTCGGACTGATGAATGTACGTACATATCTCTGGTGCCATCGCCACCGGATCAAAAATGACACAAGCAGAAAACAGTTACACAATCTTCCTTCGTCATGACATCATCAGATCCGAGTAAAAAGATAGATGGATAAACATTTTGATTGTGCACATATCTACAAAAAACCACTCATGCAGTACATATATATACGGCGACAAAAGGCATAAGCTGCATTCTCTCTCTCTTTCACTCTCTTGTGAACTTCGTATCTGTCAATTGGCACATGAAAACATCGCTGAGGGAGAAAGTCGCTTCCATAAAAAAACGCCAAAAAGAATGCCAAAAAGAGGAAGGAGACAGAGAGAAGCAAACTCGGAAACAAAGAGCGAAAAAACCACATGACCTCGAGTGCCGAAGCACGAGTTATTAGTTTTTTTGAAACCAACTCTGTTCCCAGTCTGTTGACAAGTATTTTGAAAAAGGAAAATCCACATCCACATTCCAGCCATTATGTATCCACATTAGAATCGAAAGTGACTAGACTGTATATCTCTCGCTTTAGAAACCGCAAATTATGTGAGAAGCTGACCGGCTATGCCGAGGGCAACTCCAGCAGTCATGAGGTAATCGCGGCAAGGTGCCCTCCATGCAGCGTTTCCATTACCGTCAAACGCACGGCAAGCCTCGACAGTCAACTGGGAGCAGCCCAAGCTACTCAAGCTTGAGCAAATGCTCTGTGCAGACGAAAGACCGACGCTCGGAATGGCGGTAATGGTAGCGCCGCCGTTGGGGGCGGAAACGGTTACGCCCGGGGCGCCATTGGCAAGAGCACTTGTACAGCTTGCAGCATCGCTTTGGCAGCTTGTATAAGCGGACGAGCAGGCAGCTGCGTTTTGATAAGTCGTCGGTATGTACGGGAAAGGGTAGAATTGGTTCTGTACCGTGCTTCCGTGGTTTGCGCCGCTCGTCTGCTGCACGAAGGGCCCGCCCGTGGTTGTGCTGGCGATGACAAATGGCACTGACGTAGTTGCCGTGGGGTTGGCTGTTGGGGCGGCAAGAGCTCCGGTGCATGCAGCGCCCTGAGGACAGCATGCTACATGGCCGGCTTGGTCGGCGGAGCACACTGCCGTTCGGGGGCAGCAGAGGCCCGGAGCGCCCAGGCGAGCGCAGTCGAAATAGTTGTTTGCGCATGCGTTGCCCTGTCTTTTGAGGAGCTCGGGTTGTACATCTGCCGGCGCCGTGGGCATCGAGTCGTATACTTTGTTCGGTAGTCCCTCGATGGCGGGCTCAAAGTCGGCGACAAGATCGGGTGCGGCGAGGGCTGCCAGCGGTGCCAGTAGCAGCGGGGCGAAGGCGGCACGCATTTTCGAGAGGGTGATGTCGTGGACTGAGCGAGCGTTGTGCGGGAGAAGAGATGCGACTTGCGCCAGTAAAGGCTGCGGTGTGGCAGGAGAACGAGCGATTTATCGATATGGAGATGGCTGGGGGAGCGGACAAGCACACAGGACAAGTTGCGGAAGAGCAGTGGGAAGACAGAACAATGGGTGCGCTAAGCGGCACACAATTGACAGTAGCGGGAAGGAATATGGACAGCAGGTGGTGCGGTTTGGCCAAGGTCGATGTGTAGATGGGCGCGCGGCCGGTGCGGCTGTGGTGTCTCTGCCCAGGCTGGATTCGTTGGCACGGTGACGTAAAGCCTGATTGGTTCACCGCTGGATTCGACGGCTCTGGCCCGCAACACATGCATGGCAACGTCCAAGGCCCTGATGATCTTTTCCTACTTGCGCCCACCATTACGCTTGCAACTCTGACGAACTTGCCCCGAACTTGTCTCTGTCATAACCTGCGAGCGACGACCAAGATGCGCTACGCCTACTTACAGTAGACCGATTACGCCGCCCACATACACACCACCTCGTACGCACCACCTCATGCGCTGTCAGGCACAAACACGAACCTCCAATATTGCTTCAGATACGAAACACCTTTAGTGAGAATCAATTGTTATTCCTGTCGTCACACTAGTTGATCTCTGGACTTCATCCTCTATCCGTGCGCGCGTGTGTGTGTGTGGAAAGCTACTTTTACCCAGTCAAAGCTTCGCCTAAGGAAACCGACCAGGGTCTTTACCAGATATTCTGAGCAAGAGCCACTAAGTGTAGTGTAGCAGACTGAAGAATCTAGATTAGAGATGATCTGATAATGCTCATCTCAATAGATGGAGATCTTGTTGATGCTATACGCAGTGCAGCTAGATGCGCATGGTAAGCAGTACACAGTACGTACGTACTGGGGGTTGAGCAGGTTTGCGCATGATAATCGCGTGAGCCAATCTCTTGGTATCAATCTCCCAAACATATATAAACGCAAAGTACGCATTTGGATTTTTCACATCGAATACGTTGAATCGCCCTCTGCTACTTACCGTACAACGATTAGCAGCATTTTTTATATCGTCGGTCAACCGGATCTGCATCGAGGCTTACCGTTTGTACTGACGGACACTTTGCCAAGACTAGGGTTCTTGAAGAAGGACCCTTTTTTCGATATCAACACCGATCCCAACCAGGAACATGTCTGCCTTGTATTGTGCCCAGGACCCAGCGATTTGGATATAACATTCTCAGAAAACATACGACGGAAATATGCTTTCCCTTCCAAAATGATGACAACACTATAATCGAGTAGACAAGAGTTACGAGAGTTGGACTCTGCGCCGCTTGACCATCAGTGACGCTGACAGAGATGTTGCGAATTTCCAACAGTGAAATTGAACATTGCAGAGGCACAAGATGGTTGAACTACAGCATAGCAATGTATACCAGGTGGCATACCTTTTCCCAGCGCCGTTGGTGGAAAGAGCTAGATGTCGAATTCCAGTATGACCGAGTCTAAGGATACGCCAAGCCGGAGCAGAAGAATATCTTTACCTGCATAGGGAAAGCATTCTCGACGCTCACACACACACGAACACACGAACACATATGTCAATCCGCTATGAGGCTTCAACGGACACAGGCGACAAAGTCGAGTTGTTTATGACAAGAAGATGGTAATATTTAAAGAATTACCCGGAGCCAAAGTACTAGTAAGTTGAATGTCAGGGCTGTCAGACTGCATTTAGTACGTTCAAGCGCTGTTGAGTAGTGCGATGCCAAGATTAGCTACAAAGTCGAATACGATACACATTGACGTAAATGAACCTGGGGCATACGGCCTCAGTCCGAAGAGACGATAACCAAAGATTCGATTTGGCCGAAGCTAGGATGGAGGCACCAAGAATACAACGCTTTGACGTTGCTCTTTTGAAGACAGCTGCATGAACCACAGTCTTGCTCACGTCAGCGGTACAGACCTCAGGTTCATGGACAAGGAAGTGGTTGTGTACTACTTATGCCATGTATGCACAATCGAGCAAAGATCATGTCATTAGGTATGTATGAATGTATGCGCTCGCTCTCTATCACAAGCATGAGCCGCTGCTACTCGCTCAATGCCATAGGAATTATCTTTTCAGTATCTCACAAAGCATCTAGTCTCACAGGATGAACCAATTCGACTCTGAAACTTGACGCTCTAACCACTCTACTCTTCTTCACTAGCTGGGTAACTGTGCGCTTGCCACCAGAGCAACCAAAGGCCTTTCCCTATCCGGCACACTGCTCCCTCTCCATGCGGTGTACACCGAGTTCGATTGGGGCTGCTTCTACTCGAATTGGATTTTTTTCCCCGCGGCAGTGATGAAGAGCTGGCCGTATAGGCATGGGATACTGCATAATACTATCGGAGCGATGGAGCATCTTGACCAGAAATCATGTGGGAGCAGCTGTCGGCCACGACAAGGGCCACATGTGCGTCGTCAGCAAGGAAAGAGGTAGAAGGCTAGTCATGAGGGGATGACGAGAGCGTCTCAGTGTCGAGCAGTGTGGCGCGGGTTGTGGGTTATTGCAGTGGCTGCTGCATCCACAATTGAGTGTGGCACTGTTTTTGTAAGTGTTTCTCTTGGATTGTTTGGGAAAGAGGGCTGTGATTGTGGACGCTAAGGTGTGAAGTAAAGCAGATGGAATCAATCAATCAATGGCATATTAGCCTGCGTGATTTGCAGGCGGCAAGGCGGTGTGATTGGGCGAGTCACACTGGGCGATAAAGCTTGGTGTCAGTTGGCCGGCAATACTGTGGTGGCTCGCTTCATCTCACATCCGTTGTTGCCGTGCCGTGGATCCCTCCCTGTTCTTGCCTCAGCATCATGAGTGAGGAGCAAAAAAAAAGGCATTTGCAACACTGGCTTCAGGAACGCCTGTTTGGCGTGTGTTACGGTGTATTGGGTGGGCGAAACGGCCCAGGGCTAGCGCGAGGAAAAAAATGTTTCCCTAAGGCTCTGGCAGTGTATGGGGTTAAAATTGGATTGATTGCAAGGCTGATGCATGGCGCTGGCGCGGCAGTTGGCGGAGCTTAGGCCCCCGCAGCCGGAACTGGCGCGAGAAGATGACGACCAAACAAGAGAGGTTTGCGCAAAAGCAGTCGCAGACACGGCAATGCGACAAAAAAGGACACGGCGAGCTGTGAGGATGGACAGAAGCAGGAGGGAGAAGAGGGGGGGAGGTGGCTGCATGAGACTTGTGCAGGCTCCAGCCTCGAGCGTCGAGGAAGGTTGGCAATAGGCGATGGGTGGCTGAAGACACAGCTGGCTGGGAGGCGACGGGCTTACAGCGTGCGTACGTGAGGTTAGCCGGGGTTCAGGAACCACGCCCGCCCCCACAATGATTGGCCAGCAAAGCGCCCATGCGCCGCGATGTTTCGAAACTACCAGTCGATATGCACAAGCTCCCACGACAAACAACATGGTTTCAAGCCAATGCCCTGTCGGCCCTGCCACTGCACCAATGACAACGCCCCCGGCAGCCCAAAACGACTCGCTGTTAGCCCGCAATCGCCTTGACCAAGCTTCGAGGCACGTACGACGGGTGCACGCCAGAGGCGGCGTGTGGCAGGGCCCGCCTGCTTTTGGCTCTGCTACTAGCAGTAGTAGAGTACTGCCGCCGACGTGGACAATGGGCCCAACCTCTGACTGACCCTGCTGCTGCCGTGCCTCTTCTCAGCATACCATCACACGTCTATATAGTTTTCGCCCCCGCCTATCTTCCTATCCATCCTCACCTCGTTCCTGTACAGCTCCTCTCTCCCAATCCCTTTTGCTTCCAGCCCTCGGTCGCCTCGTGTAAACACTAATACTACCTGCACTACTGTATACACACTTGTCAGCTCCAGGCTCTAATATCGGTAAGCCTGCCCTCGGCTCTATTTGCCCTCCTTTGCTCCTTCCCTTCCCAGACCCCAGTATGACGTCCATGTTTCCTCCCTATTTTCTTTTGTGTTTCCTTCCTGTCACAAGCGTTGCGCTTTCCTAATTTCCTGGTCGCACTCCCGCTGTGCCGCTTCATATACATATACTTGGCACCTGCTCCACTTCATTTCCTTCACCTACCCTTCACCTACAAATTGCTTGCCCTTCCACCTTCACTTTACTAAACCACTACACAGTCACTCGCTCGCTTTGTCTGCTTTACCAGATCGCCGTTCCATACATACACATACAATCAAGATGCTTGTCTCCGTCATCTCCATCCTGGCCGCGGCTTCTGCCGTCACCGCTCAGTCTACCAACGCCCCCGTAGTAGCAAACAACCCCATCGGCGCAAAGTACGTTGCTACGCTTCCTCAGAAGGCGGGAAGCTCCCTCTCGGGTACCATTGAGGGTACCACCGCTGCCGACGGCAAGGGTGTCAAGTTTAGCGTTCACTTTGCCGGTCTCCCAGCCACTGGCGGCCCGTTCATGTACCACATTCATGCTAAGCCTGTCCCTGCCGACGGCAACTGCACTGCCACTGGTGCTCACTTGGACCCTTACCACTACGGCGAGACCATGCCGTGCAACGCAAGCGCCCCCGAGACCTGCCAGACTGGTGACTTGAGCGGCAAGTACGGAAACTTCAGCACCCAAGAGTTTTCCGCCGAGTACACAGACTTGTACTCTGCTACTCTGCCTACCGACCCTGCTTTCGTAAGTTACCAACCACCTTGCAAGACTGTGAAAGGTCATGATTTACTAACATCATAATAGTTTGGTTCGCTCTCATTCGTGCTCCACCTGGCCAACAAGACGCGCATTGGATGTGCCAACTTCGAAAAGGTTGCCGACGGCGAGTCAAATGAGGAGCCCCCCAAGTCTGAGGACTGCTCCACCTCGACCATGGCCTCTACCGGTTACAGCATCCCTACTGGCGCCGCTGGCTACAACGGCACTGTTCCCGCGCCTACTGCTGGCAAGCCCACCTTCCCCAGCGCGCCCTCGGCCACCTCTTCAAGCCCAGCAGAGTTCCCCGGTGCTGCACCAAAGACTGTTGGTGGCGTAGGTGCCCTGTTCGCCGCTGCCGCTGCCGCAATCTTTGCCTTGTAAACAAAGGCCATGCAGCACAACGCTCCATTGCGGGATTTTCTTTGTTATTCGATTCTTTACTACTTTTTTTTTTCATGATTGTCATTGATACCAGACGAAAGCGCAGATTTAATGTCCATGGTCTTTGCTAGCCTTGATAGGGAAAAAAGGCAAGGCAAAGGAAGAGGACATGGTATAATGTTTTGGCGATTTTCTTGTGGCTTGTGTGCATTTGTTACATGGCCACATGGCTTTTTTTCTTCTTCTTCTTCATCTCCTCCTTAATGTAGTTTTATTTCCAGATTTAGAGACCAGCAAATGCGGAAGAATGTTTTAGTTCAAAATTTTTTTGTGGATTTGGAATCCTTCCATGGTTGTTCGAAGCGAGCCGAAAGTGGCTTTTTTTTTCAATGTAATCGTGTAGCTGGTATATTAATTAAGGGTATCGGCTCCAGCAAACTAAATCCGCATGTAGTAGGTCGCTTGGCGTGGCTTTGAGCATCAATGCTACTATTTTCAACCAAACGCAGTTGCAAGAGGAATTGAAAAAAATTAAAAAATTCAAATGAAACAAAAACAAAGAAAGCGAAATGAAACCCAGCCCGTTTTTTACCCGCCAGCCGTTGACGCCACATAGTCCGCCTCGCCCTCGTCGCTGTCCGGCTCGTCGCCCCGAGTAGACTTCTTGAAGCGCGGCTTATCTTCCGCAAGCGACAGCGCCAGCTTCCTCCTCTGGTACCCTCTGCCCTGGTAATCCGCCATGAACTTTTCCGCCGGCTCAAACTCGCGGAACCGCACAGTCACAATGCCCTCGGGCTCCTTGTCGTACAGCGTGCAGTTTGTGACTTCGCCGTACTCCTCGGCCGCCTCGCGCATCTCCTCCTTGATCTCGAGGTACGCTTCTGGCTCTTCGTCTAGCTCGGCGGGCGTGAAGGCGTGCTTGATGATGACCACCTTGGCCCACTTGTTCTTCTTGGGTGCAAACGCTTCGGCGACTTCTTCTTCGTTGTCGGACCATTCGTTGAGTTTGCTGCACTAGCGTTAGTAACGGGGCATGGTGTGGTGTAGACGGATGGGTGCACCGAGGGTGCGAGGTGGTCCAACTCACCGATTCAGTTCTGCCCTGTTGCGCTCCGATGCCTTTCTGTCCTTACGTGTGAGCTTCGAGGCAATCTTGTCGCCGTCCCTTTCCTTCTTGTGTTCAATCTTGGCGGGCTCGACGCGGATGGTGCCGTTGGAGTAGTCGCCTGGGCGGAGGACGTAGTCATCCATCATGTTAACGGCATTGGTGATGGCTTCTTTGCGGAAATAGACAACCATGGCATTGCCCGTGAACTTGCCCGTCTCCTCATCCATGTACATTTTGATGCGTGGCTGGCCATCGGCGCCCTTGTCAATGATGCCAAATCGTGAGAACTCATCCTCAATCTCTTTGGCAGTCGTGTCTGGTGGTAGATTGGAGATCCAAATGGCCTTGTTCTCAATCACTTTGGGCTTCTTGTTGGCCTCGGGCTCCTTGCCGTTCTTGCGCTTTTTGCTGTTTTGGCCAGCCTGCGCATCCGCGGCACCATCATCAACAGGCGGCGTACCCGTGTCTGCTCTTTCGGCAGTTTGCGCCGTGACGTCGCCTCGTTCGCTCATCTTTTTGCGACAGGTATGGGTGCAGTCAGGCGGTTGGCTGGCGACGCGGATCAGCGCGGTCTCTTCCCAGACCAGATGCAAGCTACAGCTTCACGATGTCGAGGGCGGCAGAAAAGTCAGGCGGTGAGGTGTGGGGCCGCCGAGAGGGAAATCGGAGTTTCTTGCGACGAAGAGCCTCGGTGCGTGGTGGGCTGTCATCCAGAGGCACCATGTTTGGTTAGTGTTTCTGAAGGGCACGCCATGCTGCTCCAGAGGGTGCGGATGAGCGGGCCTGTGTACGTACTCGGATGCACTGCCTACAAATACACACGTACACAGCCGTTGGATGTTGTCGATGGTCGATGGATTGCAGATGTTGGCTGCACGCAGGTACATAGACTCGTCCTGACCACAGGCTGCAGAATGACGCTGATTGCGGGCGAGGATCGATTGAGCCGGCAGATGGTCATGCACGCGCCCAAAGCCCTCCAAGCCAAGGCGTGGCTTAGCGTGCAGCGCAAGCTTTCCACCTCGTTCGATCGCCAGCCCCGCATGTGACGACCTGGCGATCTAGCCATCTGCGCGTAGTGCGGACTTTCGGAGCATCAAGTGTTCGACACACGATACCTCAGACGCAACAGGAAGAAACCCTGGCCATCGCTAAGCACTCCGCCCTGAATCGCATGCAGTATATATACACAGAACATGTAGCCTTGCCCATCTGGTAAATCCTTCTTTTTGCTTTTCCATCTCTTTGTTGTTGTTGCGTCACACAACTTAATACTGATACCATGTCTCTAGTCGATACTGTACTCAGACCCAACATGCGGGACCCTCTCCCCCCACCTTCGCTGCTTGTCCAAGCAAGCAAGCCCCTCGCTGACAAACTGAGCCTGACGACTCTTCCTTACCATGTCCACGAGATATTCCTCGGTTTCCTCGGATACCACTTCATCCTCTATGTCCTTTCGCCGGCTGTCTCGCGACTAGTATGCCCAAAAGCCTACCATGGCTTCAACAAGCGCACGCGACTCAACTGGGACATTCATTGGGTCTCCATGATTCAGTCTCTCTTCATATGCGGCGCTGCGCTATGGGTAATCTTCAAGGATGAAGAACGACACGCCATGGACTGGAGGGGAAGACTCTGGGGCTACACGCCAGCAAGCGGCATGGTCCAAGGCTTTGCTGCTGGCTACTTCCTCTGGGACCTCCAAATATCCACACAATACATCAGTATCGCCGGCGTCAGTGCGCTCATCCACGCCATCGGCGCTCTGGCCGTAACCTGCATCGGTTTCGTAAGTCGCGACAACCCACCTGCCCCATTTGGGCCGTGTGTCGCAAACCCAAGCTGACTCGTGCACCAGAAACCCTTTGGAAACTACTACGGCCTCTCCTTTGTCCTCTACGAGCTATCCACCCCGTTCCTTAATATCCACTGGTTTTGCGACAAGCTCGGAATGACGGGATCCAAGCTCCAGCTCTACAACGGCATCGCTTTGCTTGTGACATTTTTCGGCTGTCGCATCGTCTGGGGAACTTACCAGTCCATTATGATTTACTCGGATATCTACAAGGCTTTGACCATTTCACAGACTGAGAGCATGAGTTCACTCCTGGAGGCGCAAAAATGCGACGGAAGCACCAATAGCAGCATGGGTCTTGATGGATCTGGAAACTGCTATGGTGACCTCCCCATGTGGCTGGTTTGCGTCTACCTGGTTGGTAACACGGCACTAAGCATGCTCAACTTCTTCTGGTTCAATCAGATGATCAAGGCTGTCCGCAAGAGGTTTGTGCCTGCAGATGAAAAGGCGCAAGCCAAGAAGAGCCAGTAAATGTCGAGATAGAAGGAAGGAATTGGTTGAGTGGAAGGTTTTTTTTTCTTTTCTAGGTTTTAAATCAAGGGCGTTGCTTTAGAACTGCTAGGGCAGTTGGATCTTTCAAGGATGATGAATGATACCCTATCTCTTGTAACGAATGGAACGTGGATAACGATAGGCTCAGCATACATATGGGAAGCGTTGCATAATTCAATATAAATTGCAATAAAACAAATATCTTATCAAAATTACAAAGTACTTATCACTCCTCTAGTCTTTGAAGTTGCTCATCTCACGTCTTCCCTTCTTTCTCTGCAAAATCTCCATATTAAGTCCTCCTCGCTATAACTTTGGTCCACCTCCGGTACCCATCTTCTCCAGCTCAGCTCTCAGCACTTCTCTCATCTCGCCCGCCAACTTAGACCCTTCTTCATCATCCAGATCATCGCGTTGGCCCCGCCCAAACATGGTCCAGCTCTTGCTCTTGATTTCGGGCATGCTTTCTGGCCGTGGGATAATGTGGAAGTGAACATGTGGTACCACTTGTGCTGCTCTTGCACCTGCGTGGTGTTTAGTATAAGATGTTGGTGTGGGGTAGGTATAAACTTACCGTTATTCTGAACAATGTTGTAATCCGTTACGCCCGTGACTTTTGCTACTGTCCTTGCTAGAATGGGTAACCAGAAGCCTGTGGTTTGTTAAATTTCTCGCTTCTTTTATCGTTCATACGGACGAATTGAGTAGAGAAAACAAAAGATACTTACCAATCTCCCTACTCTCCACAACCCCCATATCCGCAACCTTGACTTTGTGCTGGCGAGTTGTAACAAGTAAATGTCCTGTATCACTCACGTATTAGCCCCGCTAACATCCACACATCTTTCTTCATCTCCCTCTCATCCCACAATCCCACATCTCTCGTACATGGACTGCCCTGCATATGCATCTCCTCCCACCAGTTCCCAAAACAAAAACAACCCCATATCTGCATCGAAGAGAAAGAATATAAAAAAAGAATGAAAGAAAAGCTCACCCCTCGTCATAGGCAAAATATCCAAAAAAGCAACAACATCCTTACTCCTCAGCACCACAAAACTACTCGGATCGGTCTTGTCGGCCTGACTCTCCTCCTCACTCGGTACACACGCTGCTAGCTCTTTCTGCAGTTTCTCGGGTGCACTGCGCCATAGCGAAGCGCCGGCCTGTGCGCTGTCGGAGACGGGATACGTGGCGGCGATGGTGCAAAAGGGACAGGATTCTGGCGGGTAGTGAAGGTCGGTTTCTTGCATGGCTGCTGGCTGCTGCTTGTTGCTGGGGTTGCGAGCTGTGTGGCGTTTGCTTGTTTATTTTGTGGAACAGGCGGGAAAAAATGGGTATCCAGATGGGAAATGTGTGTGTGGGGGGAGGCTTGTTACACACGTTGCGTATGGATGTAGATGTGGATGTATTTGTTTGTTGATTGCTCCACAGGTGTCCGTACGTGTTAGTCGTCAAGAATCCCCAGAAATGCACGTCAGTTCCGCGATGTGCACGCCACCCAACATCGGTCAGCGAACCCCCCCTCAAACCAGTAAGGTATTACGATCGCGAAAAAAAAAGATCAGAAATAGATCCAAAAAAAAGTCTCGGGGATCGAACAAGTTTTTCCTCCTCACTCTGACTTTCAGCAATTCAAAAAGTCGGTCAAAAAAACAAACAGAAGAGCAAAAGACGAGATTCAAAGAAAGCTACCGATCCGCACCTGCACATGCAAACCGTAAAGCTCGAGCCCCTCGGTTTGCATAACCAGTTCAAAGCGGTATTAGCTCCCCTCCCCCTCCCCACGTCTCACTTGCTTAGACCTCGGTGCAACGATCGCGCGCCCTCACATTAGGGCATCTAGGCCCCCGGAGAGGGGGGGGCTGGGGAAAACAAAAAAAAACAAGCCAAGAACCACACCAACGATGATGATGACATTTGACTTTGGTTGGCTGAGCTAGAGAGAGGGAACTAGGGCGCGAGTCCGCCATTCCGGTTTATAATGCGTTAATTGCATAGGGGACTAATTGGCCAAGGTAGGACGACGTGATGCGGGCGGACGGACGACGCGGTGTAGACACGCATGACGTGCCACTACCGTGTTGCTTTCGAGCCAAGGGGCGTACGCGACGCGAGACCGTGGAGCTATGGCGTTTCGGTCGCGAAACACCCACAACGGGCGGACGTGGCTGGGGGGACTTTTGGGGGTGTGTGTATTGGGTACACATGACGTGACTCCAAAAGAGGCACAACAACAACACCTGTCACACCAAAGTATTTTTTTCCCCCAAGACGACCAGATTATTCAACATGCTTTGCTCCATTCTACAACACACTCCCCCAAACAGTGCGCAATTCACACACTACTCATACACGTGCGGAGAACAAACGTCTCCTTATCTGATATGCCAAATGCCCATGTTTTTCCCACTCACCACACCACATACAGACAGGCACTCCATACAGGTCCACAAAGGAATAAAAACCTCTCTCATATCATACCGTTCCTGGTACATTGGACCGCCTAAGCCATGAGCGAGTATCCAGAGCCGCTATAAGAAATGAGGTAAAGTGCGATCTGAAAAGGTGGAAAAAAACAAACACACCCCTCGTTGCGCCTCCATTGACAGGAGATGAACGCCGGCAACTCCGTTCCCAAGCAAACAGAAAAAACCACTTAGGGAGGAAAAAGAACAAACAATGAAGTGAACAACCAACTTGCATCCCATGTATTAAACGCCGACCGGAAGATGGTATTAGCCAAGATGCAAACATGAATAGCCTGGTTTGGATGCAATCGTAAATTTTGGCTCCCGGTCGGGACCTGAACTTCGTCAATCACTACTCGTTCCCATGCCGGCGGTAATGAATAGCTTTGCGACACATAAGCCAATGACCGGTATTGCCTAACAAGAACCCACACGCTTAGCGCACGCTCTTGGTCTTGGTGGGGACAGCGGCCTCTTCTTGGAGTGCGTTACCATAGGCGGCAACGTATTCCTTGGCCCACTTGCGAAGAACAATGGATGCTGTATTGTGTCAATGGCGCACGTATCAAGAGGGGATAGTAACCCTTACCTTTCAAGAACTTTTTGCTGGCATACTTCTTAAAGAAGGCCTCGTGTACAACAGGGCCGGAGAGGTAGTCGATCATCAGCTCAAGAACGGGCTGAATCTCCTGCTCAGTGTAACCGGCGTAGTGTGTGAGGGTAGCGTCCTATTCAAGTTAGAAACAAACAACATGTATGGGGCATCACGGTAACATACCCAAGGGCCACGCTCGAGAACAAGGCGAGCAAGGTACATGGCGGCGGCAGCAACCTGGCTAGGAGGGTGGGCGAGGAAGCGGTGATCCAGGCAGCCAATCTCCAAGAGATACTTGCCCAGTGTGCGAGTCTGGATGTCGTAGTTGTCGGCCTTTGATATCCGGCGGAGGAAGTTCATGGGGTTGGGGTAGCTCAGGTCGTAGTTCAAGGCAGCAAGGACAAAGCGTTCGGCGCTAAGAATTTCCTCCTCGGTGAAGCCATCATCGGCAACATGGCGGAAGTTCTGTACGTGAGGAGAGAGAACCTCCTCGTACTTGGAGGCGATGAACATGGCAGTAACACCAACCAACTGAAGGCGGTCCAGCTGGACAATCTTGGTGGAAAGGAAGCGGTCAATGATGTTGACAGCGAGGAAGAGAGTCTCGGGAAGGAGACGGAAGCGGGTGTGGACCTCGAGTAGCCAGTCGACAAGAATGCCGCGCATCTTCCACTCGAGTTCTGTTTGGCTCTCCATGTAGTCGGGGTTGGCCATGGTGGCAATCTCAAGCTCCTTCAGGTACTCAAAGATCTCGACAACATACTCGGAGACCATGAGCGGGTCATCAACGTCCTCCTTGTCTAGATCCGGGCCGTCGTAGAAGACCTCAGTGACGGGTGCCTCAACCTCCTTCTTTGAGCTCTTGCTCTGCTTGACATTGTCCTCTTCAACCACCTTCTCTTGTGGCTCGACGTTCTCCTCCTCTTCCTCCTCTGGCTGGTCTTCCTTCTCTTCTTCCTGCTCCTTCTCCTCTTCCTCCTTGACGTCCTCCTTTACATCCACCTTTGGCTCCGCCTTGACTGACTTTGCAGCGGCAGCGCCGCGCTTCTTTGCTGGCTGACCTGTGATACCGTTGCCACTAGCTGGGCGCTTCTTGAGGTCGGATGTGGAGATCTTTTCCTTTTGCTGTAGAATGGAACGCGTCGAAGCGGCCCGTGATGACTTCTCGACCTTGGTTGGCTGTGCTGCTTTTGAGAGTTGGCCTTTGGTAGCCAGTGGCTTCTTTCCGTCTTTTGCGCCCAGAGCGTCCTGCTTTGTGACATTGCTGACGTCACCAAGAGCCGCACGCTTTCGCGTCGCGGCACCGTTCGCGCCGAGGGTAGCAGTCGACTTCTTTGTCTGGAGAGCCTTCTTGGGCACGTCTGCTGCCGACTCGTTGGCGCCCAAGTTGGCGGCCTTTGCACGCGTCAAGCGTGTCGTAGTGGCGTTTTCATCGTTCTCATTCGTGACGGCGCGTTGCCTCGTAGATCGAACCTGTTGGAGCGTGTTAATGAGCTGTATGCGAGGTATACACGTTCCCGCCGCGTCGTGGGTCTCGGGAACGGATGCAGCAAAAGGGCAATGACGTACTGCTGGAGGCATGGCAAGCAATATTAGGTATGCTAAGCAAAGCTAAAGAGGTATCCAGGTGTTCGAGTAGATGTGCAGTGTGTAATGGCTGATGTTTGATGTGTTGTGATGCACTGTTTGGTGACGTTAGCAGAGTTCGATGGAGCTTGAGCAAGGCGCGTCGGAGGTGGCAGGCCGACAGCAGCGGAGCATCGACGGTCGCGCAGGGTATGCACGAAGCTGGACGAGCGAACCACGGTCGATGCTCACGAATGCTGGTGGACCAGACACGCTCGACAGGGTGCGGCAGCGAGGATGAGGGCAACGTGACGGGACAGCAGGAGAGACCAACCCTTGGAGAGCTTGAGGGGTTAATTGAGTGGACGGGGTAGAGGTCCAGCTACGGCGTGCACAAGAAGGAAAGTGGAGGTTGGGCGAGGGAGGAGGTGCACCAAGGTGTGTTGTGTGTGGGAGTGAGAGGGTATGTTGTGTGTTTTGAGCGAGGGCCGGCTAGCTTGGCTTTCCACGTCCCACGCGCCAAAATGGCCGTCGAGGCTGGCAAAGGCAACAGTGCACGCCCCACAGGCGCGTGTGCAAACTTACGCTGAGGAAGATGCCGTGACGCAACGCGTTTCTGTGGCGGCGATGGGCGGCTGGCGAGAGGGCTGATGGCGAGGCGCAGAGCTGCGCTGGGTGTCGCGTGGTCGGAGTGATGCAGTGCAGTGCAGTCAGGTTGAGCGACACTGGCGGGCGGGTGCGTGTTGTGATGGGTGACAGAGCAGACGCTGGTTGTTGCTGGGCCATCGCGCCGGGCAGGGCAGGGCAGGGCAGGCAGGCACTCCCCCGCCCGTCCCGCGCTAGTCCCAATCCGGTCATATAGAGAATTATTCGTGACACCGCCAGCACCAGCCCTCAAAGCAGCTGTGCCATTGCATCCCCGCCACGCATCCACCGCCCCCGGGCTCCCGACGATACAATGCTGCAACCCCGGATATGTAGTCGCCTTCAGTCTGTGCAGCTGTGCGCCGCCCTGCGCTCTGCCCGTACCTACGCACAGGTCCATGCCGCCAGTGTAAAGCAGCCATCATCACCACCACCATCGTCATCCATACAGCCCGCCGTGGCTGTCGATGCTGCTACACTCAAGCAGGAAGGCTCGCGGAGAGACCGATTCATCCCTCTGCGCACATACAAGCCCCGCACACCCGGATTGCGCCATCTCAAGCGCCCCGTCAATGACCACCTGTGGAAGGGACGACCGTACCTCAAGCTCACCATTGCCCGAAAGGGACAGCACCTGGGAGGAAGGAACAACACCGGCCGGGTCACAGTGAGACACCGCGGTGGCGGTCACAAGAGGCGCATACGCATTGTCGACTACAAGCGCTACCTGCCTGGCAAGCATATCGTTGAGCGCATAGAATATGACCCCAACCGAAGCGCACATCTTGCCCTCCTCACACGCCTGGCAACCGGAGAAAAGTCTTACATCATTGCTGCCGATGGCATGCGCGCTGGAGACGAGGTCGAGAGCTACCGCAGCGGCATCCCCAGAGAGCTGATTGCCAGCATGGGTGGTGGCATCGATCCCGGTATGCTGGCTGCTAAGACAGCGGCCCGAGGCAACTGCCTTCCTATTCACATGGTGCCGCTCGGCTCCCAAGTCTACAACGTAGGCTCCAAGTCTCAGGGCGGGGGCGTCTTTTGCCGGAGTGCAGGTACATATGCCATTATCGTCAACAAGGAGGAAGTAGAAAAGGGCAGTAGCACAGAGATTAAGCACGTCATCATCCGGTTGCAAAGTGGAGAAATCCGCAAGGTCAGCGCCGACGCATGCTGTACCATTGGTGTTGCCAGCAATCCACAGTCACACTTTACATCCCTTGGAAAGGCTGGACGTTCACGATGGCTAGGAAAGCGACCCGAAGTCCGCGGTGTCGCCATGAACGCAGGTCAGTGCTTCGGCTTATCAATTCACCATCTGGAGTATGCTAACATGTCCCAGCTGATCATCCCCACGGTGGTGGTCGTGGTAAGTCAAAGGGTAATGTTCATCCCGTCAGTCCATGGGGAACACCCGCAAAGGGAGGCTACAAGACAAGGCACAAGAGGAACAAGCACACCTTCCTTGTTCAAGACCGACCGCGCAATCAAGGAAAGCGCAGGTCAAAGTAGGCCGAGAGTTGTATACCTATGCTCGAGTTCACACTGTACTTGTACTATATATTGCCTCAGTAGCACCTATGAACGTACCTTGATGAACCAATGCTATCTGTTTCGACAAACAATCCCATTCTACGCCGCCCAGCTGACCTCTCAAACGACAGTCGGAGTTTTTACCTAGAATCCAAATATGCTGCTAAGCTCTATACATGTACGCTATCGGGGTTCGTTATTACTTTTAATGTAGCTCGGCAATACTTTTCGGACGCGTTCGCTCTTATTCGCTGGGATTAGGAACTTGTCTTGTCAGCCTCTAAGCGTCATCATCCTAGTTCCACATGGATCACATCGACATTCAGGATGACACAAGATATAACGCCTGCAAGATCGGTCGCATTGTTGTCTCTGTTAGGCCTAATTAAACCCCCACTTGGGCGCGCCTCGCACACCTGCATAAAGAAGTCATATACTTACGCCATAGAATAGCTGACCAATGCGACACGTCGCTTGTGGCAGGCAGCGCAAAGCTAACCCTGAACGGAACTGGCTGGGACGCGAGCTGAGAAACCACCAACGGGGATTCCTGTTGGCAGCCCAGACGTACGGGAGATCCGACATAATTAGTCCATGTGGTCAACGTGCGTTCGACACGTTCAAGGCAGCACGCCTAAGGACGACGCTGCAGATCCAGTCCACACCAAGGAAGCTCATGCTGGCGCACCTCGACTCCTTCATCCCCATTTGCATGACAGAACTGCGACGCCCACCAGCCTGGACTTGTGGTCCTTTCCGCCTACCAACACCGCCTGTGTCCAAGTCACTACCACATCAACAACTCGACCTATAGCCGAGACTCGAACTATTAGGCGGAAGGAATTGTTTGAATCAGAGGCACCCCCACTTCTGAATCGTGCTTACGCGGGGTGCGGTTTCTCCTGCCCAGCGCGCACCCTTAATCTGCCTGGAACAATCAACTGCTCATATCCACCATGAGTATGCCTTCCAACGAGGCCGAGTCGCCGGACGAGAGCTTCTTCAACGACCTGTCCCAACAACCCCAGGAGTCCAATACAGCCGATGATCAGGAAACACAACAAGACGGCTCGAGCAAAATCAAGAGGATCGCCTGTGTGTTGTGTAGGAAGAGGAAGTTGCGATGCGACGGTGCACGACCGTCGTGCTCAACTTGTAAACGCTTATCCCACGATTGCGCCTACGATCAAGTGCGGAAGAAAAGCGGGCCCAAGCGTGGTTATGTGAAGCTGCTCGAACAACGGCTCCGTAAGTAGGCGCATGCAGCCTGTGGCTATTTGCGCTGACGCACAGTCTACAGAACAGGTTGAGACGTTGTTGAAGACCCAGGACGCAAACGATACAAGTAAAGATGCAACCCGCCAGGACTCTGCATCTGAATATGTCGCCAACACCATAAATCTCACACTACCCAACACTAATCATATTCCAAATCTTGCAACTCCTCAACATGACACAGAGCAGCACGTGTCAGGAGAAATAATAGGACTTGGATTAGAAGAGCCTTTACCACCCCAGGAAGTCACAGATAATCTGTATGAAGACGCTGCAGCCGGCGCTGGGATTGTTGCTGACGCGCAGCAGATACGAAGTCTACTTTTCCAAAGTTCATCTCTCCATACCCGTCATACACAGACCACGGTTTCTCGCGGCGCTCAACCTCGCCCCTCATATGCGACCACCGATATGCCTACGATACATCATGTGGGCCATGGCAGCATCTGTCAGCAACAAATACGAGGCGCTCCACGAGCACTTTTACCAGCGAGCACGGAAGTACGCGCAAATGGACGAAATGAAGGGTCATGGAGAAACGACCATTACGCTTGGACATTGCCAGGCATGGATTCTGATATGCACGTACGAGTTCAAGAACATGTATTTTCCAAGAGCATGGTTGTCTGCTGGTAGGGCTGTTCGACTCGCTCAGATGATGCAACTCCATCGCTTGGATGGGCTCGGTTTGGACGTAAAACAATGCCTGCCTCAACCGAAAGATTGGACAGAGCGCGAGGAGCGGAGGAGAACTTTCTGGATGGCTTTCTGTGTCGATCGCTACGCCAGTATTGGCACAGGCTGGCCAATGGTTATTGACGAACGCGATGTAGGCAGAAAACTGGGCTCGTTGTGGTCTGAATGGGCTAACTTTGATCCAGGTTTTGACGAACTTACCGGCAAGCGAGGAAGCGTTCGAGAAAAGCAGACCAATGTCTACAGTGTCACTAGAGCGAGCTATGCAACCAAATGGCGTAGCGAACCTTCAACCATCCGGCGGAATCGTTTTGACAGCAGCAATGTTCGGTCGCAACCTACTGCACCTACATCGGCCTGGTCCTGACGATAGGGACGATGACATCAATGGTGGTTACTGGACTCGACATCGTGACATTGAGCAACTACTGCTCCAAACATCACTGGGATTGCCTGATCATATGCGGTTACCTTCAGGACTCTCAGACCCCAACGTCGTGTTCACAAACATGTGCATTCATACCTCAGCAATATGTCTTCATCAGGCAGCAATATTCAAAGCAGATAAACACCGATTACCGATCAACATTGCCAATGAGAGCAAGATCAGATGTGTAACGGCCGCAGCAGAAATTGCCAGCCTTATGCGGATGATCAGTCATATGGATCTTTCTGCAGTAAGTTCGAATGCTGTAGAAGAAGCGAGTGATCCAAGTTGACTTTGAATAGATGAACCCTTTCATATCCTTCTGTGTCTATGTGGCAGCAAGAGTGTTTGTCCAATACCTAAAGACTCGACCAAAGGATCAACAGATGGCCGCTTCGTTAAAATTCCTGATGCAAGCTATGCACGCTCTACGTAGGAAGAATCCACTCACAGAGTCCTTCCTGGCACAGCTAGATATTGATATCGAGCATGCCGGCATCGGTGGTATTCAGCAGATGAAATCCATGACCAAAGTAAGTTCGAGACTCGAGTTCTATACAATCTAAGAGTGCTGATTGTTTTTGTCTGTAGCCCACTGCCACCCGCGGCACTACTAATCAATTCAGATGCAGCCCCATAATCAATATATCCGAAGGGCAACAACTCGATGAACCTGTGAACATAGTTGAGAACAATAGTCGGGCGAATACAACCTCAACGCGCAGTACGCAGTATCCGAACAACGCACCAGGTCCACCATTTCATGTTAGCAGCATCAATAGCATCGACCTGCGGACGGCGCCGCGTGTGTCTTCACGCGAAGCTCTTGCAACTACAGGGTCTCATGACTTCCCACCTGGTTGGTTTCCAGCTCAAGATGGAAATGAAATGGATCTTTCTGGGGGTGAGAAGGGCGTTGACCACGATAGCCCTGTAACCATCAGTTCACAATCACGCGGCGGCTCAACGTCGCAATCTTCATATTCACCCGGTCAACAAAACGAGCTTCATGTGCCATATCGAGCATCACCAAAGTTGCCTTACTCTAATTTAGTGCCTAATGGCTCCACCATCTTCCCAGGTTTTGTGTCCACGAACGAAGCCTTTAGCATGAACAACTTCGATACCTCGGAAGATATGGGACACGCCGGTTACAATGATGGCCTCGTAATGGGCAGCGAATGGGATTACGCTGCACTCAATGCTGCGTCAGGTCTGCCCGCAATGGCCGATGCATCATGGGACTCGATGCTGGAAAGCGTAACGACGGGATGGGAGTCGGTCAGTCAGGTGCACGACAGCCAAGCAAACATCTTTGGCGCAAGATGAGCATTTGCATGGATGAGGGGACGGGGCTTGATGACTTGACGTTATTGTTGTAGAGCAGTATACCCGCTTTGGTTTTGATTTACTTTTGGAATATTTACTTGCAGGACCACAACGGAGTAGACTATTGATATACAGATACACCGGCCTCGAGGCCTAACACCGAGTTTGCATTAGAGATAATCTTCAATTTGTACTATATAGTATCTTGTACATAGAAATATATCCTGCCTCTTGAATACATGGCTTATTATAGTCATTGGTGGCTTGAGTGCTGCATAGTGATGAATTGTGGGGAACCAACGACGGGATTGGATAGCGCGAACGCATAGGCGATATAATCAATTCAACCAGAATAGTGTATATGTCGCTTGATATTGTAACCGCCGTACAGGCGGCAATAACATGGAGAGCGCAGACCCTGAAGATCCGGGGATAGTGCGGCTAAGGCAGGGGGTGGATGTGTGGGAAGCGGTCAAGACGTCACAGGCTCAGTTGCCATGGGAAACCAGCGAATAGCAACAAGCTACGGGCAGCACCTCGACCGCGCCCCCCACCGCTTGTCTACAGCTTTGGTTCGTATATCTATCTTTCTACTCTTTCAAACTTGTTCAATTCACTGCTAGTCTATTTATCAAAAACATTTGCGCTTGCGTACTTCTATCAATACCCTGGACGCCACACAAACAGAGCAGTAAACACCGACGCTACATGTTCGCATCCAAGGAAAGAGAAGGTGCTTCGTCGCCAGGGCCTGGAGCCTATTATTCACAGTCCCAAATGAGTAAGTTCTACAAGCAGGATTACATCCTGGCCAAGATTCTGACTGTATACGTGAAGAAAACTACCTACAAGACCTTCGCACAAACCGCCCCGCCCGTCCTACTGGAGCACGTCCTGCGCCCGCACATTTCAACACTTGGTCTAGTAGAACACCCAACCGGAATTCCGATTCATCAGCTGTGGCTGCGCTACAACGTACCTTCACGGACCCCGCTGCCGATGCCGACGCTCAACCCTCTGCCTCACAAGAGCCAGGGTCGCACAGCCGAACAACGTCAAGGACCAGCATGGAAAAGATCGGAGGCCCTGGACGGCCACTTGTACAGGCGCCTCGCGGGAGAGAAACCTCACGATCCTCCTCGCATACGCGAACGCCAAGTATGATATACCGAGAACGCCAGGAGCGACAGGTGGAGCAGGATGAAGCCCGCGCTATACGCGCAGCCATGGAGGATCTAGAGCTTGCGACGGAGGGGAAGATATACGAGGCGGCACGAGACGAAGCTGCAGAGCTAGTCTGGAAGCACCGCAATCCAAATGCAGCGGAGAATAACCCGCACGCGCCATACTCCTATCCTGGCCTGGGTAGGGAGAATAGCACACAGCGAAGTCGGAGTGTTGAGCCCAAGGATCAGGATCTGCAGCGGGCCAATTCCAAGCTGCGAAAGCGACATTCGATGGGAAGTGCTGCCTCGGGGAGCAGGAGCAGTAGCTTGCAGAGCACCGGCCCTGGAGGAAACACGGATGCATCTACCACTGGGAATGAGACGTCGGCCACTTCGCCAACCAAGGGGTGCTTTGACCTCAAGGGCAAGAAGTTTGAGTCGCCGGCATTAGCCAAAGCCATCTCGGATCTGCCGGACTTTAAGCAACGGCGGAGAAGCAGTGGTTCTCGTCGTACTGCCAGTGGAAGCCTCTTCCAAAACCCCAACGATCAAATTTACGAGGAACCTGAAGAAGAAACATCGCCTGCTCCTCGACCGAAACCCGCCCCCGAACCATCGAAAACTGAGAAGTTACCATTGGGAGTAAGACGGAACCCCTTTATGCGATTCCAATCTATTAAGAGCAATCCGTTGGTACGCTCAAGCACCGATCCTACTGTGGCCTCGAAGCGGCTTGACCGCTATGAGATACAAAAGAACCCACCAACCCAGTCTCGAAATGCCGGCTACACGTTGAACTCTGCTGTATCGAAGCCAACCGACAAGGACAAGGCAAATGCGGAGAACTTGCCCGAAGTGAAGATGAAGGACGGCAAGGAGATAAGAAGTGAGGAGCTACGCGCTGCGACCGGATTTCGCCTCAAGGACCGTAGTCCAAAGCTTCCTACGCCTACTGCTGTTTCCGATGCTCCAGGGCGACCAATCGTGTCTTTCAAAAAGGACTGGAATGTTGTCGAACTGAAAGAAGTCGTTTCGACGCTGTCTGATCCAGCACCGGTTCCTTCCAACCAAACCAAATCTGGCCAACCTCCCCTGATGCACGCTGCAATGGCCCCTGACGTGCCTACTATAAGTTTAGCACCGGATGTGCCCAAAAGAAGTACCACACCAATACCTCCAGTCCCTGAGATCAACATTCCTGAGCCCAGTAACGGCCTGGCACCCGAAATTCCTAAACGAAGCACCACACCAAGACCACCTGAGACTCCGGCAATCAATGTCTCCTCTAGCAACACCATTTCAGCGCTGCGAGGCGGCAAATTTGATAGGCCCGCTATCAGTGTTCGTGAAGATCCTCCAGCACCAGCGCGACCCCTGCCACTGACCAGTTCGCTGAGGAAAGCTCAAATTCCAACGCGTCCCTCCGTGGCACCCATACCCACTATAAATGTCCCTGATTCTTCGCCCTCACGTTCTAGGACTACACCCGCACCAAGCGTTCCTTCCATCTCGGTTTCGGAGACACCATCGAGTCGAAGCTACCATAGACCCTCGTCGAGCGTCACAGCGCCTGTCCCAAGTATATCAGTCAGCAACTCACCATCTTTTGGACGGGGATCATCCTCAGCTTCTAGGTCTATGACACCTGACATTCCATCAATATCGGTCAGTGAATCGTCTGCTCCCAAGCGCGGGTCAAGAGGAAGTGCCCCGCCCATCCCAAGTATATCAGTGAGCGAGACGCCTATGCCAAGAAGAGGATCTACTGTGCCCTCTATCAACGTGACCCCTGATGTTCCAAAGATTTCTGTCAATCAGTCTACAGGATCCGCCCGGGGACGACACAATAACGTTCCTTCAATCTCGGTTAATCCTTCGGTGCCTTCAATCAACGTGAACACGCCAAAGGGCTTTGGACCTGCAGCTTCTGCACGGCCTCTACCAGTACCAGGTGCTCAAAACAAATCGCACAGCTACAGTGGCTCTGGATCCGGTCGCACTCACTGGACGCCGACCACGGTGCGCACAGGTGCTCTCTGTACTCAATGTGCGCTACCCATTGCAGGCCGCATAGTCTCTGCAGGAGGCTCTCGCTTCCATCCAGAATGCTTCACATGCTATCAATGTGGCGAGCACCTTGAGTGCGTAGCTTTCTACCCGGAACCATCCAACAAGCACGCCGAACGTGTCCAGCGCATTCGCGCCCGTCTCACAGGCTATGACATTCCGTTCCTGCCCTCGCACCCTACAGCCGAAGACATGGCTCGTTTGGAGCATGATGATGGCACCGATGAATCTCCACGGTTCTACTGCCACCTCGACTTCCACGAGCTCTTCTCTCCACGATGCAAGAGCTGCAAAACGCCCATTGAAGGCGAGGTCATTGTAGCATGTGGTGCAGAATGGCACGCCGGCCACTTCTTCTGCGCTCAGTGCGGTGATCCTTTTGACAGCACGACGCCTTTTGTCGAGAAAGACGGGTACGCGTGGTGTGTCAATTGCCACACGCATCGGTACAGTACAAAGTGCAAGGGCTGCAGGAAACCGGTTACAGATACGGTTGTCAAGGCCCTTGGAGCGGAGTGGCATACTAATTGCTTTGTTTGCGTGGTAAGTTTTGTCCACTTTTTTCTATCTGAATGACACGGAACATGCTAACATGAGAATAGATTTGCTCTGGCCCCTTTGAAGATGGAAGGTACTTTCTACGTGGTGACACGCAAGATCCCGTCTGTGTGAGATGTGAAGAGAAACGACTGAAGGCTTGATGAAGAAAAGGAAAAAAAAACAAATGAAAATGAAACATACGAGAAACGTACGAGAAACAAGAACTAAACAGAAAAGCTCTGCTCAAGCATTCATGTATCGCGTATCATTTTCTGTGAATTTTGCTTTGCATTTTGGGGAGAAAAGGGCGCTGGGTAGGGCGTTGCATTGGAGGTAACATATTTTGACTTTCATCAGGATCTCATTTCGCATATTATTGCAGACATTTTAATACATACATATATGATCAGGTACGTTTTTTTATTGAAATCTACTACCCGTGCAACCTGCGTGACACTTGTCGCTAAACAAAGGATATCTTACTATGATCACCCCCAATAACCTCTCTCTCATTCATTCCACAACTGCAACAAAAAAAGATAGTATAAAATACAAGAGTATGAAGTAAAAAAAACGTGCCTACACAATCATCTCTCCCCCTTCTGCCTCTCCCTCTCTCTTTGCCGCTCCAGCAAAATCAAAGCGAAAAAAAAACTAGAGAGCAAAAAATCCACCATTCTACGAATAAACTCAACACAAAAACCCACCCGACTAACGACCCTCTTTTTACTTTAATTCAATCTTTTCTCTTGTTCTTCGCTTTACCAAAGTACTCATTTCCTCCCCCTTTCCCTCTCAAATCTAAACATGCATTTACTTTCGCTAGAGGAGAAAACGGCAAAAATCAAGGAACATAAGGGAATTATGTGTTGATAACTGTCCGGGGAAGTAACTCGCTCATCGTTTCGAATAACGGTAACCGGACAAAAAAAAAGTTGAGCTGGGGAGCGTTTCAGGGGGGAAGAGAGAGAGGGGAAATCTATCATACTCTTTGAATGTGGGAGAGGGTTTTGAGAAAACAGGTTTGAAAGGGTTCTTTGGAGGGGAAATACAAAATGGCGGGAAAAGAAGGAAGAAAAGAACAGTCTTGTAGACATGAGTGTAAAAAAAAGAACAAGAAATTCGCCCTGAAGAGAGAGAAGAAAAAAAGAGAGGCCAAAGCCCATCACAAAACCTCGCTGTTCAATACCGTTCCTTGTAAGAAAGACAAAAAAAAACCCCTCCCCATTGGTAAACCAGAAAGATAGAAAAGAACAAATTCAAACTCAAAGAAAAAAACAATCACCCGCTGACATCCCAGTATCCCGAACCTCAATTTTCAAGGGCAAAAAGAAAAAAACACACACATACGGGAAGCAAAGTGTCAAACCGATTAAACCCCAGAAAAGCATACACACACACAGATGTCTCACACTCCGCCGTTTACTCCTCCCTCACAGTGCCCCGAAACCGTTCAGGAGCCGGACTCGACTTCTTAACCGGCGGATCCATAATCGTCGGACTACTCAGGGGCTCGAGGCTCTTGACGGGGGGAAAAACCGGAGTCTCAGACAGATGATGGGTATGACTCGGCAATCTCACCCCATCGTGTTTCGACGGCGCAGGAATAGGATCGGGGAGCATCTGGGCCGGCATTTGCGACGATGGCGATGGGGCGATGCGCATGGGGGCTGGAGCCGGGGACGACATTGTTGCGGGTAGGGGTGCCGGGGATGAATGCTTTACTGGTGAGAAAGATGGGCGATGGGCGGAGGAGGGAGGGAAAGAGGAGTGTGGGCTGTTGAATTGGAAGTTTGGGGGGAGGCCGTTCGAGGGGCGCGGGGATGCGGCGGGCGAGTGTTTGACAGGGGAGCCGCCGGCGGCGGAGGTGGGGCGGCTGAAGCTGCGGGCGTAGGAGGGGAGGGATTGGGAGGATGGAGCAAAAGGGTTAGAGCTGAAGGGGTTGGCGCTGAATGAAATATTGCCGTTTTGGGGTGGGTGGGATGTGTGGGAGCCCTTTGTGGGACTGCTCTTTGTGGGACTGCTGGGTATCCGGTGGAGATTGTATGGTGGAGGGGATGATGTAGGGGATGATGGACGAGGCCGTATTGGTGAGGACATGCTGCCGTTTGCACCCTTTGTTGGCGATCCGTATGCGGCCTCGGATCTTTGGATACCAGGGGGTCCAAGAGCTTGACCTCGTGGTGATAGACTTGGACCGTCAACCCAAGGCTGTACCGGGTGCATAGAGGGTTGGAAGGCTTGCGGAGCAGAGGGTTGCGGTGCTGGTATCCGAATCGAGTCGAGTCCAGATGGCTTGACACCGTTGGTTCGTGATTGATCATTAGACGCGGGCGATTGTGACGTTAAGCGTAATTTCAGAGACGGAGGTTTGGGCTGCTCTGCCTCTGCCTCCTTGCGTTTACACGAAGTGCAGATGAATACGAACTTGGGGTCCTCAGTCTGCTTCTCAGTGATTCCATGGCATTTCATGTGTTGCCAGACATTGCACTTTTCACAAGATATCTGGGGCGTATCGTCGTTCTGGTCAAGGTTAGCACTTGTTGAGAAGAATTGGACCTGCAACCTTACCAAGTTGGAACCGTATTTGCCACATTTCTCACAGTCAAAGAACCAGTCCTCCTCTTCGTTGAGCCTCTTGAGATCACTTTCATGTTTCTTCATCATGGCCTTGAGATGCCTCTCTGATAACCTTGCGCTGTTAGAAGCCAGCTTCTGTTCATTTTCCTGAAGTTTGCGCAGCTCCTCCTCTTTCAGAATTTTGGCAGTCTCTCGTTCCTTAAGTCGCTGCTCGCGGGTCATCCTGCGCGAGTCCTGTGCTTCCTCGAGCTTTTTCTGCTTCTCTTGCTCTGCCTTGGCCATGGCAAGTTCCTCCTGTCTCTTTCTCTCTGCTGCTTCAGCCTCCTCAACCTCCTTTTGTTTCTCAAGCCGCGACGAGATTCGGGACGAACGCTTCGCCATGGCTAGTTTCTGCATGTTCTCCAACTCCTTCATCTTGCGAGCCTGCTTCCTGGCTTGTTCCTCGGCCAGCTTCTCCATGACGGGGATGACGTCTTCTTGGATGCGTTTGCATAATATCTTCTCATTTGGATCGCGACTCTTTCGGATACTGTTAATGTACTCCTGATAATCTTCCAAGGTGACGCAGACGCATTCCCATTTCCTGCTTCCAAAGCCGTCATCAACCTCTTCAGACTGTTCACTTGTTGCTTGCTCTTCTTCGGCGGTCTCCTCCGGCTCGGGGGTTGCTATCTTTTGTCGCTTACTGGATCGGGAGCCTTTTGACTTTTTTGGCTTCGGTTTTGACTTTGCCTTGGTTGGTTCGGGTGGTGGGGGCGGATCTGTCATGCGGTACATGCGATTGTCATCAAGAATAAAGATGGTCCTTTCCTGTGAGTCCCAACCAGTGGGCTCCATGCGCTGAAGACCAGGGTTAGCGACATTGCAAACGCTCGGCCATGTAATGCTTACCCAGAGCGCCTGCTCTCCATCCGTTGCAGCCATCCTCTCCCTTATCGAGTTTGGGTTGTTGAGTGTCCATACAGACAATTGTTGTAGCACACGTATCTTTGTGAAGACGTTGAAATCGTTGAATTTGAGGGGCTCTTCGTCTTCGCCAAAGGGGTTTCGGTTGGGCGCTTTGGCAACGTACTGTCGGCGGGCGTATTCATCGAATATCTCAAGCCTGACATATTGTTAGAGGTGGCGGGAGATGCGCAATGGCAGAGACGTACGTAAGGCCCTTGTGTGACGACACATGCTTCAGCAGCGCCAGGCCAATCTGAGCAAGTTTTTCCGAGGGTTGTGGCTTGAGGCATTCGGACTCGAGGTCCTATGGATGTGTCAGCGGATGCTGTATCAAGCATGGGCGGGTGCAGTGGCAGGGACGGTGGGCGCAAGTTGCATTTACCTCAATGTCAAAGTCCCTGTCGATCTTGACGGCATCGCCAAACAGGCTGATGTACTGGGCGAGATTGGCAAACTGCCACATATTGCGCAGTTTTTGTAGGGTACTCGGCTCCGCTGTAGGCGACTCGACGTCCATTTCGTCGGCGGCGCGTTTTCTGGACGGCATGGCTGCGATGCCTCGCGTGCGGCGACGCGTGCGATTGGCGGTATGGAGGTGGCGAGGGGACGAGGAGGTTTACGGGGTATGCGTCTATTCAGATGGGGATGGGAGGATGGGGCAGATGTTGGCCGTGGGGGTCGCGTAGGCAGGGCGGAGGAGTGAATGCGGCTCTATTCTGGTGAATGTCGAGAGTATGAAGTCGCGCGACGGGGAATCGGAAAAAGGCGCCTTACCCCTTTCGGCTTTCCCGCGGATCTCAGCGCCTTTAGGGGAGCCTCACCAAGCAGCACCATGTGTTTCCGATTGAGGCGCCTTACTCCTTCCTGTGTGTGTAGTAGTAATAGTAGTAGTACGGACGTATGGAAGGCACGTGACAATACTCGAGCATGCCCAGACATTGTTCATTTCATCTATCCAGCGTAGTATCTGGTATATACATAGCAGTCGTTTGTGGTTAGGTGCTGGGCGGCACTCGGAGTGCTGTGGTTGGTGCAGTTGCTCGAGGGCGATGAAACAGGGCAGGCAAGGCATCAAGCCGGCAGCGATGCGCCTGTCAAAGCGGTGCCGAGGCGGTTGCGAGATGGCGATTACGCGTTTGGATGAGGGTGTGGAGCTGTGTGGGCATGCGCCGCGCAAGCGTGGGCCACAGTGGTGTGGCTGGAGAATGGGACAGGCAGAGTAAGGGGTCTGCTGCGTAGTCAGCCTTAAGCTGTTTCGGAGCGGCCAAGACGTGTTGGCTCTTGGTGTGGGAGTCGGATTAGTGTCTATGCATGTGCATGTGCATGCGTTGATATGGGGCCATCCGTAAATCCATCCAGAAGACGGCTTTCCCATGGTAGATAGTAGATATGTTTAGCACATGGCCACGCTACGTCGCCTTGCAGTGCATACTAGGAATTTCACCAGCCACAGGGACCTGGCACGACGTTGGCCTAAAAATACACGCACCCTCCCATCGGGCCCGTCCCATCTCTGATAGCAGCTAGAACAACTCGGATGCCCGTTCCTGCGGAGTCGAGCCGGACGTAGCCTAACCGTCTTCGCCGTCGGGGCCTCTGAATCCCTGCTTGCTGTGGCTCAGGGCTCAGGGCT